TTCCTGGATAATGGAGCTTCTTGCCCTTTAAACAGACCCCCACAAGTGATTGTTAAAATCTTTTAAAATCTCAACTCTTAAAATCTCAACTGGGAGCATTCCCTAAACTTCAATACATGTCTTGTGTTGCCAACTGGTTATAATTTCATTGGCTCAGCAGGACTCTAATCCCCTTGGATGACTCCTGGAGCAGCATTCTGTACATTCAAACAGGAAAGTGCTCGGTCAGGATTTCCCCCATATTCACTATGAGGTAGCATTTACTCAAATCTAATGCTTACTTTTTTTTGGCTAAATCACCTTACCAAAATTAGGGTGCGCGTTAGATTCAGGTAATGCGGTAATCTTAGTGCTGAGCCAGCGCAATAGCGGAAGCTGCTTCAGGAGTACTGAAGCTACCATTTGAGAGACGTTGTTTCTAATTTAATTGTTATAGATAAATGCTATATAATCCTGGGATTTGTAGTTTGGTGAGGCAGCCTCACTCTTTGGCAGAGAAAGTTCAAGGTCTTGTAAAACTACAGCTCCCATTATCTCAAAGTATTGAACCAAGGCTGATAAAGTGAGGTCATTCTACAGCAGGAATACACCCCCAAGATTTTATTTTCCATTGCTCAAAGCTTTGGTTTTCTAACACTTTTGTGTTTTAAAGAAGGAACTCTAAGCAGGCAACAACTGTAATGGCCAAATTATAATGAGTGCACCGTTTTGCTGCTGCATATTACATTCACCAGAAAATGCTTTTTTTAGTTTCAGTTTTGGAAATTGAAATGTGCATTTTATTCAATGACTCATTAGACCCAAGAAAATACAGTATTTTGAGGAGCATCACCATTTGAAGAAGGAAAACATGCACTGCCCTCCTGTCTTTAGAGAATGTATTTCCTACATTCTCCAAGTCTCCCCATAAATGTGTGAATGTCCATGGATCTTACAAAAATCATTGTCAACAGCATGTCCTAGCAGAAGTCCAGATTCAGAAGTCCTGCATGAACTCATCTTCATCATAAGCATTAAAACTACTGGATGTTTTCCTTACGGTGACCATCAATCAGTAGAGAAGTATCAGTCCTGCCGAGCAGGAATTCCCTAATAGCCAATCAGAATCTGCTTTCACTTGGGACCAAAGGCTTACCAAACCTGACAACAGTCTAAGGAAGGGAATTCTACAACTGAGGGCCCTTCCACACAGCCATATAATCCAGTATATCAAGGCAGGTAATCCACAATATCGGCTTTGAACTGGGTTATCTGAGTCCACATTGCCTTATAATCTAGTTCATTGTGGATTTTATACAGCTGTGTGGAAGGGGCCTGTTAGAGTACATTTTTGTTTTCAGAAGTGTTAGCGAAACCACTGTTTTTTTAAAAGAAACAATGGGCAATGGCTGTTATGTGCATGCAGTCACGTTGATAAAATATTTACACAGTTCTTTAACAAATATTTTGCAAATACCAATAAAAACACATTTGTTTTATAATCCTCAACAAATGTAGCACATTTTTGATTTGCAGTGTTAAATCATAAAACTCTTACACAGGTATAGAATTTTTCTTCGATTTTTATGGCGTACCAGTGACAGCAGCTGAGTATGAAATGAATAATCCCCTGCTCAAAAAGTAGCAAACAGGAGCAGCTGCATTCATTCTGTTTACATAAGTGCTATTGACTTCAATTGAATTGCAGCAGTCTTAACTGTACACAGAATTGCAGCCAGAAACAAAAGCTTTGAAATTCAGTCCTAGTATCTTTTACAATTTCCTTGGCTCTAAAGGAGGCAGTGGGGTGGGGGGAAATGATGCAGTGTTCTAATTTGTTAGCAAAAACCAATGTTAAAGTGTTATAGTGTGCAGTTGAAAAAGTTGCATTGATATTATTTGGCTATAGCACCTGGAGAAAAAAGTCACACATTTGCTAGATCCCTCCAGTGCAATGCTATGCTGTGCTTCCCTAGAACTCAACATAGTGGACTGGAGGACTTAGCAAATGCCTGCAAAGGATGCCCCTCTAGCAAGCTCTAGGTCCTCCAGTGCATCTCTGTGGTATACTGAGACCAGAAGTTGTTTATTTGTAATGGCATTTTGAATGATCTGCAATTTCTGATAACTACAGTTCAATGGTATTTTCCGTAGTAACCTGTGGATGTGAGAGCTGGACCATAAGGAAGGCTGAGCTAAGGAAGATAGACGTTTTTGAACTGTGGTGCTGGAGGAAAATTCTGAGAGTGCTTTGGACTGCGAGAAGATCCAACCAGTCCCTACTTCAGGAAATAAAGCCCAACTGCTCATTGGAGGGAAGGATATTAGAGGCAAAGATGAAATACTTTGGCTACATAATGAGAAAACAGGAAAGCTTGGAGAAGACAATGATGCTGGGAAAAATGGAAGGAAAAAGGAAGAGGGGCCGACCAAAGGCAAGATGGATGGTGTCCTTGAAGTGACTGGTTTATTTTGAAGGAACTGGGGGTGGCGATAGCCAACAGGGAGCTATGGCATGGGCTGGTCCATGAGGTCATGAAGAGTCAGAAGCGACTGAACGAATAAACAACAACAGTCCACCCAGAAATGTAACTCTGTGGATATCAGGTCTTATTGTTGTTGAGCAAGTGAAGGTGAGGGATATTGCTTGAAAAAAATAAGTTCTGATTCAGTCTAGTGTCACCTCTCATTCACCCCCCTCCAGACACTGATCAACATAATTGCCTATAAACTTGCAACTAGAGTAGTTTACAAAGCCTATTAAGAGGTCATAGAACCACAGAATTGGAAAAGATCATAAGGGCCATCCAGTTAAGCCCTTTGCCACACACAGAATAAAGCCATTGGGAGAAAGATTGCCACTACTCTAAATTCACACAAACAAGGGTGGCATGGTATGCTAAGTAGAATTAGCGGTTTAGTAATAGGGAGAGGTTAGGCATTGCCACCCATGAAATTTTCATTCAGACCCTGAGTTTCTGGCATTGTAGTAACTTAAATCTTAAGTTCACTAGTTAGAAATACAGTTTGGCATCTAAGGACATCCAGCATGGTCTCATGGTTTGAACGTTGGACTGGGATTGTAGGAGACAAAGGTTTGAATCCGTGCTTGGCCCTGTGTGACGTTGGGCAGGTCACACTTTCTTAATCTCAAAGGAACACAGTGACAACTCTCCTCTGAACAATTCTTGCTATGAAAACCTTGTGATAATGTTGTCATAAATGAGGAACAATTTGGATGCACGCAATGGCAAAGAATCTCCAAATGAATCTCTTTTACAGTCACCTTCTGCCCAGTCCACGTTTTTGTCTTTGCTCCCTTGTGAATATTGTCTTCATGTATCACTGAGAAGAGAAACTATGTAAGATACCAAGCCTACATGTATAACAAGCAGATGGAAATATTGTTGCATATTTAGCTTATGCTTTTTGATGCAGGTGTTCTCCCTGATCCAGCCCACTTAGCACCTAGTTTTCTTTTTAACAATCATTCCGTATATAAAGATTGTGCTGAGCTTATAAAATACAATACAAGTAGGGCCCCTTCCAGACTAGCCCTATATCCCAGGATCTGATCCCAGGTTTTCCATTTATCCCAGATTATCTGGCAGTGTGGACTCATATAATCCAGTTTAAAGCAAAAATAAATAAATAAAGCCAACCTAGGATCGGATCCTGGGATATAGACCCTGTCTGGAAGTGCCGTAAGAGGTAGGAAAGTGCTAACTCTTTGTCCCAAGCAAGCAATTGAAAACAAATAAGATAAAATGACAAATAGTAGCTATGAATCCACACACACATACACAAAGACATTAAGATTCAGTGGGAAAGAAGAGTGATAAGGTAATAAATCCTACCTTTTTTTTAAAAAAAAAAGTCTATTAATTTGTTTCTGCTGCTTTGGTTTGTCTACAAACACAGCCTTACAGCTATGTATTATGGCTTGCCAGATCTTGACAAATTCTCTTGCTTTTGTTCCCTTGGGCATGCAGTACAATGGAGGGCTTATTAAGTGCCAAATTGATAGCAAGTGATCTACATCAGCTTTGGAAAATTACATTCTGCTATGAGCTAGATTTAGGAGTATACCTGGCAGAGATAAACCATGCCCCATTTCCTATTTCCAATTCCTATTTAACCAGGAATAGCCAAATCGTTCATGTGGATTGAAGCAGGTGTGATTTTGTGGATCCTGGTACTCTGCTAAGACACGTGGCAAGGTTCGGGACGATGGCACATGCAGCAGCCCGAGGAGGGCTTGTTTTGGTGGCCCATATCTCATCCTCTGTGTAGCCCTGCTCTTAACCAGGGTTTGAAAATCATATTTAAAACCTAGTTAGGATGGAAACCATGGTTAGCACTAGTTCAGATGTAGCTCAAAATTTATAAGGGAAGGAACTGAGGGGGTTTGCAGTAGAGATAAATTTTTAAAATTGTGTCAGAACTGACTTGAGAATTACCTGTCCGCAGAGACATTGCCCAGGGACACCCACATGTGTTACCATCCTGTGGGAGGCTTCTCCCATGTCCAAGCTCACCCAGTCTCACCAATTCAAACTGCTGACCTTCAGGTCAATTTATTTTTTTAATTTATTTCAAATATTTATACCCTCAGGACTCAGGACGGCTTACAGCTGTTTGATGCCCCTATATACAATAATTATATATAAATAAAACACTAAATCAATTCAATTTACAAAACTGTTTAAAACATTACAGCCCAGTGGCCTAATCTAAGCTGAATTCTGTGACTAGAGGTCAACAGTTCAGCCGGCACAAGGGTTTAGCCCATTGCGCCACCGTGGCTCCTAGCAGAGAGAATGAGTATATATAAGTGACAAAATTATACCTGCACTTTAGAGAACATGGAAACGTTACTTCTTATGACACATTTTCCTGAATCCCACATATGGTGGGGCCATAGTCATCTTAAAAAAGATAAGCTCTGGTCCTTCTCTTGGATGGTACTAATATTTATTTTCTATTACTGTGTGATCCACCAAAACTCAGATCCTACCTACCTGGCACGTCCATATTGATGTGATTAGGAATCCATCATCTCTGAATACGTTGAAGATTTCTATTATCCCCCGGGAATAACCAAAAACAGAGACACTGGCATCAGATACAGCCAGGTTAAATGTCAGGTAATCTGTCGGCTGAAGTGCAGCTCGCTGTCTGTACAGTACAAAGATTACAATGCTGTTACCAAACCAAGACATCCAACCTGTAAAATAAAATAAAACAAAACAAAATAATTAAATATCATTAAAATCCTTTGCAAAAAAAAAAGAAAGGAAAAAGCACTGTTCACATCACAAATACAGAATGAGCATCCCTTATCTAGAATTCCAAAATCTGAAATCCAAAATTGTCTCTATGGATACCTGAGAGATGACATCTTTGCTTTATCACTATTCGGTGTACACAAACTTTCATGCACACAATTATTTTAAAATATTGCATTAAATTACCTTCAGACTACATGTATATGGTGTATATGAAACATAAATACATTTTGTGTTTAGATTTGGGTCCCATCTCCAAGATATCTCATTGTGTACATATATGCAAACACAATATTCCAAAATTTTAAATAACCCTAAAATCCAAAACAATTCTGATCCCAAATATTTAGGATAAAGCATATTCAACATAGGGTTTGCAATAGTTTCCTCAATCTTGTACCCTACAGATGTCTTAAACTACAATTAGCATCATTGCCAACCTGAGAAATTCCTGGGATGTTTCTATTTTGGGATTTTAGCTTACAGATGTTCTTTTCTTTATGTTTCCTGCCTTACTCCAGGTAGATTGATAAGAGCCTCCATTGGCCACAAGACAGGATTTAGGAAGCTGTACATTACATTCAGTCTGCAAATGGGAACCATCTGTTCATCAAGAAGCTTACCACTAACGAGAAGTTTAAATAAATGTTTTTGGACTCGAGGTGTTTGGGTGTATTAGTTAACCGGTTAGGAATTGTGGGAGTTGCAGTCCAAAACATCTGGAGGGCCAAAGTTTGCCCATGCCTGCATTAGATGGTCTTAAATGGATCTTACAAGGGGGTGGTTTTGTGTTGGAACTTGTAACATTTGAGATAAATGTTCTATGCTTCCCTTTGCTTCTCAGTGGTCCAAAAACACCAGCACTTTCTCCCATTGCTGTCTTTAGATACATTTTGAAGGCTGAAAATCAAACTCAACAAGCTTCATTCCAATGAGATATCATTGTAGTTTGCAATTGTGCTGCATTGGCAGCTTCTGGTACAGATGACTATCAAATTTGTTACTCATCCTTGACCTAAACTGAGATTTCTTTTTTTGATATTTTACATCAAATCACCTGTCTTCCAGGTTATGCTGCGTGCTGCAAGAAACATTTTATGGTTATGGAAAGTAATTATGCTTAACAAATAATTTACTTACTCAGCAATTCAGTATCCTTAGGCTATACAATTATGCTTAATGTGGAGCAATTAAAATGGTTTGCTTTTACTAGCACTGATACATCGAGTTCTGCATGAATAAAGATTAAAATAACCACTTGCATTTCCAAATCTGGATATCTGAAAACTTGTCACATCAATGGCTGATGTAGTGTGTGACAGAGAGGTTGTGGACATGATTGGGATGTTGTTTCATTTCTTGAGGGAAGTCCATATTTCTAAGCTAAAAGTGAAAAGATATAATGGTGATAGTCTGTATTGATATGCAAAGAGATAGTACCTTTGGCAAACTTCTTTTGAAGTTTGAAGCAGAATCATCATTGACCAACTGTGCATCTACACTGCAGAATTAATGCATGGCTCAATGATATGGAGTCCTTGAATTTGTAGCTTGTTGAGGTACCAGCACTCTTCAGCAGTGAAGGCTATAGGGAAAAAAACCACAACTCCCAAGATTCCATACCATTGAGTCAGGGCAGTTCAAATGGTGTCGAACTGCATTAATTATACAATGTGTAGATGCATTTTAAGTCAACAACCCTGCTACAAAAATTAAAGGGGTGCCTAACTAAAGGGGTTCCCTTCAAAATGAAGTATAAAAAGATCCTTATACTTTTGGAGTTCTCAGTCATTTAAATATATCAGATTTTTTTTAAAGAAAATAATCTGATTTTCAAACTTTCCTGTCAGATTGGAATAATTTTTCCCTAGTTATTTATCAATGAGCAATTTAATATCAATGCAGCAGTAATCCCAAATAATTGCACACCCCTTCATTTAGCTGTGTAAATCCTGAATCAACCTAATTTGAGGTACAAAGCAATATGGCCAGTTAATGGCTTGATAAACCCAGTTGTTTTACAAACAGAAAGTCTTTTCACAAGCTTTTTTTTTTCAGTAGCTTTGCTAAATTGAAAACAAATTGCTCCAAACTGTTTAAGTCATGATCTTTGCATATTTTACAAGTAATGTAACAATCAAAGTGAAATGTTTAATATTAGATTAGGTTTGGGAAATTCTAAGGTTCGAACACCTTTTGTTTATGAAACAAGAGATAATCCAGCGGATTCTTCTCTTTATGTAAACCAGCAAACAATTCTCAGATTTGAACAATTTAGAACCTGAGTCTTCCCAACCTCATGTTCACTTTTTGAAAAAAGCAGTGGTTCCCAACCTTTTTTTGACCAAGGACCACTTGATCAGGGACCACTTGGCCAGGGACCACTTTGACTGGGGACCATTTTGCAGAATTAGTACCGAAAGGGTTACTAATCAGTTTTTGGTCAACTTTAGATTTGGTTTGGTTATTTAGGGTGCCGATTCAGAAAATTGCATTGGATACATCACATCAGCTCTAGTTTCTGATACAGAACATATGCCATCCTGTAGTTGCCATCTGCTCGCCCACAGAAAACCATATTCAATAAGCCTCAGCACTGTAAGAGAGTTGCACAAAACCAGATGCTCTTGTTTCCAGATGCTCTTGTTTCTTTTCAGTTTCCAGATGCTCTTGTTTCTTGTTTCTTGTTTCAGTGGTGTAGTATGATGAGACCATGGACCATATTTTAGTTCTTGCGAACCACTGGTGGTCCATGGACCACAGGTTGGGAACCACTGCTCTAAAGAGACTATTAACTGATTTTTTGTTCCCTCAGATAAACCTTCAATTGCAGTTTAGCAGAGGCTGGAGCAGCCTGGATTATATGCAACCTTCTTAACCCCATGTCTTTAGATTCAAACCAGTTTAATCTCTTTGGGATGAATGGAACCTAATCAGTTTACAACCCAGTATCACTGCTTACTTGAATAGTAGTCTGGATTTTCTGTACCCTCTTCCCACCTTCTTCATTTCCAAAAGCTTGAATATTCTCAATAAAAACACATAAATGCTTTATTTATTATAGTGAATCCTTTACTTATTTGATTTCCCACAAAAAAATCCAAATCTGGGAGTTAAGAGAAACTCACAACACAATTCTAACAAATAAAACACTTATAAGTGCGTTAATACTCTAACGTCAGCAGATCCCATCTGATCTTGATCTAAGCATGATCAGACCTGGTTAATACTAGGAAGGCAGTCCATCAAACAATACTAGGTGCTGTAAGCTATATTCCAGAAGAAGGCAATCCCAAACCTCTAAATATTCCTTGGTTAACATAACTTCATGAAATTTATGAGCTCACTTGAAGACACAAACACACATACACACAGAATGCCAAATCAAACTCCATAGAATTCCCCTTTCAGCTGGGTAGATATGTTTCATTTCATAAACACGACAGTCACTGTCCCCATACCTACCTAGAGCCAGAAGATAGAAGCCAATAATAGTCTCTCCTTGTTCCGAGACAGGAACCTCTTTGTTTGAAAAAGTGACATTGTTGTTCCTCCACGGCGCCTGGGGAGAAACCTGGAGAGACATTTTTGCAGCCTGCAACCCAGAACGTGCCCTTCCTCCTAAGCCCTGGGTACAAACAGAAAGAAATTGACCTCTGCCTTTCTCACCCCCTTGCTCTCTCCCTCTGTTCTACCGAGCTGAGCCCTGAGACTCATAAAGCAGCAGGGAATCTTAAGGAGACAAGTAGGAGCTTTGCATCCTGCTGTCCTGCTTGCAATGGTTAATCCTCTCTATTAATACTAGTGATCACCAATCTGTGACCAGACATAGATGTTAGAGTTCTGTCATTTACCTGGGGCTGCTCCCTGGAACCACATTTTAGTTCATGAGCAATATGTATCTTGCCTAAGAAACCAGATCTGTATTAGAAGAATAACATATGCATGCATTCTGAAGACAGAAGAAGGGTTTTGCAACACCAGACCTTTGGAAGCTGTGTGTTGAGGAACGTTAGTGTGTTGGCTGTAGTGCATTTGTGTTGCACGAACATAATAAGGAACCACTGCATTTGTGTGGAATAAGCAATATATATATATATATATATATATATATATATGTATGTATGTATGTATGTATAAATAAATACATGAAAAGTTTTCATGACATGTCCCCATACATATTATTTTTACAATTCATGTATGCATCCACATCTATTGTAAGGGTTTGTTAACCTCTGGTTTGGTAGTGAAACTGAATTATTGTGTTGCAAAATGATGGTCTAAAAAGGTATGTCACCAATATGAAATGTTTGAAAAGTTCTGCTCTACATGGATTTAAAATGGTACCCACCTCGTAGGTAAAGTGTTACTGACACACAACGTTCTTGACAATTGCTTGCAACGTGTTTCTTTGGGATTTAATTTAGCCCCCATTTGTGCAGTGGGTTAAACTCTTGTGCCGCTGACCAATAGGTCAGTGGTTCGAATACAGGGGGAGCGGGTTGAGCTCCCTCTGTCAGCTCCCCATGTGGGGACATGAGGGAAGCCTCCCACAAGGATGGTAAAACATCAAACATCAGGGCGTCCCCTGGGCAGTGTCCTTGCAGACGGCTAATTCTCTCACACCAGAAGCGACTTGCAGTTTCTCAAGTTACTCCTGACATGATTTTTTAAAATAAAAACATGACTTTAATGGCTGAGTTCCATTGCCTCCCATTTCTGGACTCCTTAGATTACCTGAAGAAAGAACCATTTCCATAAGTACAAACAGATACTACAAACAGTACACAGACCAAAAAATTTATTTCTTGGTTCCTGGTTTTTAGGCCTGTTTCTGGGGTTATTTGAGGCACTGATTCAAAAAATTGCATTAGATAGACTGCATCAACTCTAGTTTTTTAGATATGGTTATCGTGTTTTTCTATGGACCAGATAGTGACTGGAAGGTGGCATATGTCCAGTATCTCAAAAATGAGAGCTGATAGGGGAAAACTGATGACATTTTTGGAATCAACAGGCCACATACATCCAGAAATAGGGTTAACATTTGAGTCATCAAATTGTATGACATCTGAGTAGTTTGGGGATGCACTAAGCACACCCCAGGGATAGCTTGGATTGCTAACACTCATTTTTACAATTGCATAATTTGTTTGCAAAAACTGCCATTGCAACTCGCTGCTTCTGATGAAACATATACTTTATACTGCCTTAGGATTTCTGGTTTGTGCCTTCACTGGTGGGTGGTCAACTTTTTTTGTTCTGTTTTGTTTTTGTTTCCTGACAAAGAGACTATTTATCATGTATTTTCCCTCAAAACACTGAGCTGATGGAATTGTTCCAATTTGGCATTCTCCATTTAGAATAGCTTTCAATGATTTTATTATAGTTTTCTGGCTCAACACTTACTGCTTTAAACCAATGGTTCTACACACCCATTTATAGGCTTGGTGTTCTGGGAGATATTCCAAAAAGTCACTTTTCTGACCTCTGCTAATGATAGAGTTCATTTGTTGAAGAAAATCTGAGAAGGAGGTTTCATGCTGACATTCTAGAAACCCAGTGGGGATGGTGTTTCTGGGCATCCATCTTTCTTCATCTTTCTCATTGTTTGATCAATATCGATAGTAGCAGGTTTCCAATGAAATGTGTGAGGTGGTAGTGCTTTGTGATATACGTTTTTTTTTCTTGGGAGAAGGTGATGATTTACAATGTCATAACCTGCTGACAGGTCTTTGAAGACAGCTCCTGTAATTTGCTGTCTTTCGAAACCATCTTCTATATGCTGAGTCAGGTTCAACACTTGTGATGTGCAGCTTTTGCCTTTCCTGAAGCCAGCTTGTTGTGGGATCATATATGGGTCTATTTTTTCCATAATTATATGCAAAATAATTCTCCCCAGAACTTTGTAAAGATGGCACAACAAGGAGATTGGTCTATAGCCGCCCTGAGTCCCCCTCGGGGTGAGAAGGGCGGGGTATAAGCAACTGTAATAAATAGCTTTTTGCATCATTATAGTCTTTGCCTGGTTTCAGGATGGCTATGACTCTTGCTTTCCTCCAGATTTTGGGGATCTGACAGGATGCAGTGCAGTTCCTCAGCTTCAGGAGCCAGCACCTTCCTTTTGGACCAAAGTTTGTTCCATCCGTAGATCATCCAGGCCAGTTGCTTTGCCATTTTTACATTTATTGAGAGCCATGTCCAATTCAGTCGATGTAAAAGGTTCATGAAGGTGGTTGTTCTCATTTTCTGATTGTCTGACTATTGGTTTCCCTCCTACATTGATGGTAAGGTTGGGTTTCCCATTCTTCAGAAGTTGATGCAATATCTGATCTGCCTTTATGTTTATTTATTTATTTATTTACTTACTTTGCTTCTATACCGCTGTTCTCAGCCCGAAGGCGACTCACAGCGGTATACAACATAGAAAAACAGGGTTCAAAATTCAAGATACAATCTAAAACAATCCACAATCCAGTATTAACAATGTTGGCATGGGTATTCGTTTGTGAGGGGTTATTGCTCAACTGTCTTAGCAGCCTCCATGCCTTCTGGCTCCTCCTGTCCATGGGGGACATGAGAGAAGCCTCCCTACAGGATTGCAACACATTCGGGAATCCCCTAGGCAACATTTTGTAGACCAGAAGCAACCAGAAGTGGCTTGCAGCATGCACCCAAATATTGATAGTGCCGTTTCTGGAAAACTGAATGGGGATTTGGCCTTCAGCAGCCCCTAGTTCTTCTGTGTGGCTACCAGAAGGACCCAAGAACCTGAGCTGTGTAGTAAAGAATATGAAATATTTCATCATATGGACAGTTTAATAGAAGCACCATTATGTCACAGAAAGAATATAAACATTTATGTAGACACTTCATTCTGTCAAAACATTCACACTGGGTGTTTTATAGCACCCAGATTTTTTGCCAATATAGGATAAATGCAACATTTTATAACCAAACTAATAGTCTGTCCTTTGTAGGAGGGAGCAAATGCATCACTGAAAACATGTCTGATGGCATTTTCTGGAGAGACCCAGAAACCATTAGCCTTTGTCGTAATTAATGGGATACCAATGGGCCAGTTCAACAAACTAAATCATTCTATGAAAGCAGTCTACCCTCAATTTGGGATGTATTTCTCTGAACCATGATGTGAAGTGGCTCTTTTTGTAAACTTTGGCATAGCCAAGGCATTCATGGTAGAAAGCAATTCATCCTTATAGCTATTAGCTTGCAGGAGGAAACACTTTGTGCCAAGCTGCTGAAAACTGTACCTCGAAATTGCACCTGTCAGAATGGGTGCCAAAACCAGTGATGGCTACTTTGGCAGCCCGTGCTGACAGGTGTGCACAGCTGGGGAGGGGGAAATTCCAACTTGGAGAATCCATATTACTTTGGAAGTAGTGCTGTCCATTCTGCTTGTTTGCTATATAAAATATAGGTTTGGTAGTAAAAAAAAAACCCTGAGAAATATAAAAATGTCTATCCCACACATTTAAAGTTAACTCTCTCTTAAATTGGTGCCATGAATCTTCCCTGCCCTGAAAAGGGAACCCGCCAAATATTATTCTGAGTTCTGCTATATATCTTCTCCTTTAGTATTTGCATTATTAATGGATTTTATATTCATGAACTTTATATTAAAGGATTTGTATTAAGGTGTTTTAGAAGCCTAAGAGGAACATTATAAAGCACCATCCCCAACATTTATAATCTTCAAAAATTTTCCATAGCAATTTTCAGGCTGCAGACAATAGCTGGTGTAGAGTTTGTGTTAGACATGCATACCTTCATGGGGAATGCACAGATCCAATATTGTGCATTCTCACTTCAGAGTTGGAAAGCTGTGAAAGTTACGGTCAATCTTGTGGGGACACAAAATTGAAGGCAAATCTGTATGAACCCAGTGATCACATAATTCCTCCCAGTTGTGTGTGCATCAGCAAATAGACTTACAAATTAGGCTCATATTAAAATTGCTGCAATCAATACTAACTTGTATGTGCACGTGCCTTCAAGTTCCCTATCAACTTATGGTGACCCCATGAAACTCAAATAATTTCTTAGGTGAGGGATACTCCGAGGTGGTTTTGCCAGTCCCTATAGCATGTAAGGTTTGTTGGCGATCTTCTTTCCAAGTACTAACCAGAACTGATCCTGCTTAGTTTCCAAAATCAGATGGGATTGGTTCCCTTTAGGGTATTTAGGCCCTAATACTAAAATGAAGCACCCCCTGGTAGCGCACCAGGTTAAACCACTGAACTGCTGAACTTGCTGACCAAAAGGTCAGCAATTCGAATCCGGGGAGCAGGGTGAGCTCCTGCTGTTAGCCCCAGCTTCTGCCAGCCTAGCAATTAAAAACATGCAAATGTTAGTAGATCAATAGGTACTGCTTCTTCATGAAGGTAACAGCACTCCATGCAGTCATGCTGGCCACAGGACCTTGGAGGCATCTATGGATAACTCCGGCTCTTTGGCTTAGAAATGGAGATGAGCACCACCCCTCAGAGTTGGACACGACTAAACTTAATGTTTAGGGGAAACCTTTACCTTACTAAAATGAAGCATGCTAAATGGGCAAGGAAAAACACGTCCTATGTGTAAGACAATTTTTTCAGTACTTGGGACAGTTTCTTTTTAGCACAGGCCACTTATAGTTAGGATCCTAGCATTGTGGTTGGTGGGAGTAAATAAGAGCGGCAAGAGCCTTTTCTTGACCCCTTTTGAGGTTGGAAAGTATGGCAGAAATTCTGTGTCGTTTCTCTTAGTTTTGTAG